AATTTTCACATAGAACATGAGATAGAACAGAAATCTTGTGAATTAATGTTTGCTACAATTAAGAATCTATGAACACTGTCCAATGGGAAGAAAACAAAAATCATATTAAGGTTTTGCCAAAACACCACAATTTCAAGACATGTGTTCAGGTTGAACTAACAAGGGTGTCTTTGCTCAAAGGTTTTTAAACTTATCTAGTTAGGACAACAACAGAGTGGCAATGGTTTCTACTCCCGAACACACTGTCTAGTTAGTTACCCTATAGTATTTAAGCTGTATTAACAAAATCCTACAATATACCTACTGCTAAGTATAGCTCAAAGCAATGAAAACTTTCCATGTAATTTTAATTCTTTTAAGTTTAAAATATTCTGAATCTGTAATGCTTCTGACACTATAATTTTATGTTGAGTGGAGAGAGCTATAATTTTTTCACTCCATTTGTATTTGTACATGCTTATGTACAAAGGTGTGTGCATATCTATATGTGTATATGTGTGTTCTCTTGTATGAAAAATAAGATATTTTAAACTCCTATCTATATCTATAGCCTTGTAAAAATACCTTGGCATATAGGTCAAACATAACTCTTTCCCTTCATAAAGTTAACATCAGATATGTAATAAAAATGTATGTCATAAAGCTGAATGTTTAAATGAAAAAAATCTCTTTCCCATTTATTTCATATTAAGAATTTATATCTTTTTGGATTAAAAGGTAATTTATCATCTGTTTACCTTACACACTGAATTGATCTTTGAACAGGATGACTAATGAGAACAAAATTGTGAGTCTGAGCACAGGAGGGACCATTGCAATCCTTTGCCTAAGGGAAATGCACTAGGTACCCAGACAACCAGCTTTATCACATGTAATATTGAGCTATTAAGCTTGAAAGACCTTTTACTAATTCTAGGTATGCTGCTGGCTGCAACTGCCACTGTAAGTGACCCAACTATCACTTGGAGAGTACTTTGGAATTTTAAAGTCAAGAGATACTTTTTCTTTAGTGGAATATTCCTTTTTACCAGTTGACTGAGAGTTCCTTTCACAACCTATCCTTCATGTTCCCAGGTTAAACAGTGCAAAAGTGAATTCTCAGACGTGTTTATAAAGTGAGGTGCTGTTCTGGAAATCATCATCATGTGTTTTTCAAATCACCATGTAGTATTATTGGCAATCATAAACTCCTTCATCAGCAAACAGCAGCATAAACTATTGATATAAGAAAAAATAATTCTATACATTAACTTAAAGTGTGTTTATATTAAATTTGGTGGTGGAGAAAGACAACATTACTTGATTTTAGTGGCTGAACACCTCAGCCTCATGTTCTCGGGGATTACAATTAGGGCTACCCTGACACTCTGCAAATGGGCTGCCGATGTCTTCACTCTCTCCCCGTGGGCACTTGTTGAGGGTGCACTAGTCACTAACCGGCGTGGGGAGGATACATTGCCCATCACTATGTTCCCTGTTAAGGAGGAACTGAGCTGGTCTGTTGCCAGACAAAACTGTATCACTTTTATCAATGCACCCTTGTCTTACTATTAATACATTTTCCTGTTTTTACCAGTTAGAAACCACTGAAAGGAACTTTGCCTACTTTCAACAAGTTGAGAGAGGCAGTTTTTGCAGTTGTGCAGCGCATGAGCTCTGAGTTAATACCAAGCTCTGCCTCTGACTTTGCTTTGTAAACTTGGCCAAGTTGTTTAATTCAATGAGGTTCAGTTTCTTCTTCAAAACCTGGACAATAATGGCCTCTTTTTAAAAGGGAAACTTTAAAGATTAAACAAGATGGTGAATATAAAACATTTAGCCTTATTCTTAGTTCATATTAAGTGCTATAGAAATTATTGCCATTATTATTGTGCAAACAGTAGATAGTACTGCACTCCCGCCTTTTATGTTCATGATACAGGTCCATTTCAGGAAGACTCTGGAACCCACATTGCTTGTAGAAATTGGGGAGAAGATGGCTTCTCCTGAACAATGGGAACTCCTAAGCTAGATGTTGTCTGGACTTGATCCCTTAAGTCCAGGCTAGAAGTAAAATAATCCATTTCAGGTCAAGGGCAATTATAAGAGAAGAAAGGAACTACATCTTGAGTGCCTACCATATCTCAGGCATGATGCTTTAACCTCATAATATGTATTCTAAGAGACGGATATGATATTTTCTATTATATATGAAGAAACCAAGGATAAGAGAAGTAGCTTTGCCAGAATTATCCAAAAAGTATGTGGCAGAGGTGGTGTTTGAACTGAGCTGATCTGTCTGCAAGGCCCAGGTTTTTCCTAGACTATGATGTCATTTCCTGCCGTAGTTCAGTCTGACTTGATTTCAGCCCCCTCTGGTTCAAGTCAAAGTTTCTACTCCCTCAGTTTTTCTAATGAAAGTTTCTCCATATCTCATGGCTATCATGAATAGCAATTTAATACTGAACTCCTTGAAGAAAGACAAAGTTTAAATTGCCTATGGTGTCCCTGACCTGATACCTGGAGACTTTGTTTTCTACTGAAGATCTGGTCCTTTTAGCCTCTTTCTGTTACTTAAATTATGGACCTAAGTAAAGAGAAGGCTTAAAAGATGTGCTTTGGGCTGATATGTGATGGAAGGAGATTCACTCATCCTTTGCTTTCCATCTTAATTTCTAAGGTCTTGGGAAACTATGCCGTAAAGCAAAGTGTCATTCCCCTAGAGCATTTTACTAATGTGTTTATTCAACCCTGTTTACTCATCCTCCAAAGGAGATATGAAGCTCATAGTCACCGGATTCAAATGAATCATTTCAAAGGAGTTAGATAGTACCTCTCTAGTCAAAGTCTCAAATAATTGGTGTGCTAATGCTTTTTTCCATTTTCTGGAGGATCTTTAGTGATTAATTATGCCTTAAACTTTCAGAGAGAAAGTTTGCAATTCAGTTTTGTGGCTCTGTCTTTGAAGTTTGCTACCTCAAAAATAGTGTCATCCATGCTCATTCAATCTCCATGAGTTATCATCAAGTAATTGTTCTATAGCTTGTCCTGCTAAGAAATCCATACAGAGTACAGAATGGGTTAAAGTGAAAGTAATAAATTTGGAGTATTTTCATTCATAGAAATTAAGTAATATTTGTGAGATGTCTGTTCCTAAAATCATACTTCAAATGTATTATGAGGCACTTTTAAAATTCTAGGTCAAGCGACATGCACTCTTCTTAAAGGTACCTCAAAAGTGCACACATACATTCTGTAAAGGTTACATCCTTAATTCTCAGGTTTGCATTGTCTTTCATGAAAGCATTTTCACTGAAGCCACACACTTGCAATCCACATGTAGTCAGCCTCTAGCTGACCTCAGGTGTACTCCTTCCTGGAGATGGAGCCCAGCAATTAATCGATTTCTCCTAGACACAGTAATATAGCCAGACACATGAAAGTGTTTTAGCACAAAACCACATGGATTAGCAACACGACAAGTGGCCTAATGGATTGAACATGAAGGCAGGCATCTCATCTTTCTAGTCCTTCAATCTATTTATCATGGAATCGTCTGCTGCCAACATTTTTCTTGAGAAAGCTCTATATTTTCATTCAACAAAAACTACCTAAACCATGGTCTCAAAATGCCTTGTGAAAAGAGAAAGGACAATAAATGAATCGATTAATTATTTTTAAATAAATAAAATCATTTTTTTCTTCTTTTGTATAGGTCATGGATGAAGGGGTCACCCATCATTTCCCTGAGACTTATTCAAGTCACATACATCATACTTAAAACTGAAATCCTTTAAAAAAATTATGACACCTAAAAGAAACTTTCAAATATACTGTTACCTATAAGGACAGTCTGACAATATCCCCTCCCCCAAGTTTCAAGGCAGTGACTATTCCACAACACAGATAAGACTCACCATCATCAAATACAGAATCTGCTATCTGTACGTGGAAGTGCTAAACCTCCATATTTGGCTGAAAAGACAGCCAAGGAAGGATATTTATAATTCAGCAACAGTCTATAATTCTCTATGCAACTCAGACTCTAATTACACAGAACATAGTTTTATGCCTAAAACCATTCAATTTTCCTCAACCTATTCAATGTATATATGTCTTTTCTACCTATAATTTAATAAACCCCTCGCTTAAAAATGTCTTCCTAGTGCATGGAATCACTGTATCTGCCAATCTTGATAACCCTCCCATGAATTGTTCCTCCCTCAAATGCTGCATTTTGGTAAGTTAGAGGTACATTATGAATACATCTGCATGTTAATTGCTTATCTGTAATGCTGCTCAGCACAGAATAAATGCAAGGATACAAGTCACATAAAATCAGATGATGTCATGTATTTTAAAATATTATATATAGATATGTAGGTGTACATATATCTCCATATATTTACCATGGAAAAGGGCCAGTAGATTGATAACTGGATGCCTAGAGATGCAGACCCAATTTTAGAATCAAATGTAAGCACCATAGTAAATTTAATAGGAGAAGAATTTTTTTTTTGACAGGGTAATAAAAGCAATCAATAATCCTTATACTATGTAAACATCTTCAGCCATTATATTCCGTGGGCATAGCCCTGTGTACTTGAATTCTCACCCCAAGCTCACAGAGTTCCAGACACATAGCCGGCAGGTCTAAGACACAAATCCTTAAATGTGGGAATCATGGCCCCTGTGGGGCCCTGACGGATGCTGTGCACACAGGCACAACAGGAGGGCGGAGGAACTAGACCCACACTCACTCACACAGGTATCCCTTCCCCGCAGGCCACCCAGCAGCGGCGGCACCTCTAGCGGTAATCACCCTGGGCTGACAGCTATTCACAGGCACACTCGGGGGATCCCCAGTGAAATCTAGGGGAAGGGGGAGGGTGGGGCATTTGGGGACAGCAGCCGCCCTGGCGCGGTCTTGGTCTCCACGCCCCCAACACCGTCCAGGACCCGAATACGCTCGGGAGCTGCCCAGAGGATCTGCATTACGCCAAGGCGCTGGGCCAACTCACCTCGACGAAATAAAAGCAGGGCAGGAGGGTGACGCTGTCCTTGATCACTTTGCCCTTTGGCCTCTCCTTCGCCGACATCCCTGCCGTCTGCCCGGGTCTGCGTGCTCCCCCGGGCGAGGTGTGCTCCGCGCAGCCCAGGCGAGCCGCCTCCTGCAGCCGCAAGCGCCGGGCGCCGCTGATGTCACATTCCCCGCGGGCGCCGCTGGAGCCAGCGCGCTGCATGCAGCGCCCCCGCCTCCTCCCCGCCCGCGTTGCAGCAACCCCGCGACTCCCGAGCCGGCAGGTCCTCGTCCTCCCGGCTCTGGCTCCCGCTGCCTGTGTTTCTGGCGAGGACGTCCAGCTCCCTCCGCCAAGCTGTTGCTGCAATGGCTTCCCCTCCCCGGCGCCCGCCCGCAGCTCCTACCGCCCTTGCCCGCCCGGCTCGGGGCTGTCGGAGGAGCCTGACGTCAAGAATCGGCAAAGAGGGACGCCGCCGCACCCCTGGTTTCTGCAGCAGCGAAGCTGGGGAGCCAAGACACCTTCTCTCCTCCCGAGGGTCCTTCTGAGCCAGCCCAGGAACGCTAACTTCAGGACTGCTGAAGAGCAGAAGCCCGGCGCCAGCGCACTGACCTACAGCAAGAAAGCCGACCTGAACCTGCGCGAGATTAAAACTCCCATCCCATATTATAAAGTAGGCCGTGGTAGAACTCACTGGCAGCTGGTTGCTACCCAGGCACGACTGCACGTCCTGAGGATTTTCTACCTAGGGGACACCTCGGCTCCCTGAAACACGGAAGCACCCCACTAACGAACGCTATAGGCTCTCTGGGAATGGTGGGGGTTCCCTGCACCAAGAGAGGCAGCTGTGTGCACGCGCAGGCCAGGGCGTGTTCTCGTCTCACCCTCACACCCTCAGGACGTCAGTATTCATTACAGTCATAACTGTGCAAAGAAGCATGCCTTCAGACATTCAAAATCTAAACAAAGTCCCTCGCCTTGTTAGCAGTGGACATGGCAGGCCTCGACTTTGTGATTATTCTAGCAACCAGAAGTATCAAGTGATACAGAGGAGAGAAACACCCAGCAAACACAAAACATCGTAGTATAATAATAAAGATAACCCGCTTCCATCATCACATGTCACAGGCCATTTCCAACAACTCTGAAGTCTCCATTACAAGCATGTGACTGCCAATTCCCAACTGACTTTCCCCCTCGCTCTTATTAACACATCTGATACTCCAGTGGGGTCTTTGACAGCATGGGAAACATCCAGTCCACTATGGTACAGGTTTCCCTGTCACCACCACTTCACACCTTCACTGTCCTCTGCCAGGCTTGGGTTCCAAAGTCCAGCAGTGTAATCACTCCTTTCCCCCTCCCAATTCAGCATACTCACTGGGTCAAATCCCAGACCCAGTTAAAGCAAATTCTTTGCCCTTAGCAGAACAACTGGAGAAAATCACACAGCCACATGACCTAGTCTCACATTAGACTCCTGACCACGAAGTTCAATAGATTCTACAATTCTAGTATTTTTCCATAGTCCGGACACTTTCCCATTCGTGCTTTCTCAGTTTTCAAATCTCCTCATTCTCAGCTAATAACTTCAACTCCTATTTCACTCAGAATATAGAAGTAATCGGAAGAGAACTTCCAAAGCTGTCGTCTCCCAAAGCTGACTACCATGTTTCCCCGAAAATAAGACAGGGTCTTATATTTACTTTTCCTTAAGAAGACACCCTAGGGCTTATTTTCAGGGGATGTGTTATTTTTTTTTTAAGTACGGTACAACAATCTACATTGATTCAAACATAGTTAAGTCGTCTTCTTCTGGAACTTCATCATAACTCTCCAAACCCCTAATTCCATCCTGAATTTCTTGCGACTCTACTTCCTTTAGAACCATTGGCCCCCATCTCTCATGTCCAGCAATAGAGCTCTCATGGGGCAGATGAGAAGGGCTGCTTATCTTCTTTATCGTTCTGGGAGGAAATGCAGGGGTTGTGCAGACACACTGCGTAGCCACGCCCATCACTAGGTCTTATTTTCGGGGTAGGTCTTATATTGAGCAAATGCTTAGAAATTCTGCTAGGGCTCATTTTATGGGTAGGTCTTATTTTCAGGGAAACACGGTACTTACCCTACACACTACAGCTACCCCCATCTCTTGCCTGGACTGGCATCCTGGCCTCCTATCTGTTCTACCAGCTTTAGCCCTTGAAACTCCCACAACCCATAAACCATTCCCTACATTGCAGCCAGAATGATCTTTTGAAAAGTAAATCCAATTGTGTCATTCCCCTGTCCAAACCTTCCAAGAGCTCTCTGCCACATTCAGCAGAAAATCCAAACTCCCCATCTCTTCCTTGAAGCCCTACTTCATGGCTCTGCCTGGTTCTCAGACCTCATTCATATCACTTTGTGCTTTAATGGGTTGGCCACCCAGTCTAGTTTTTTAATGTCGCAGGAACTTTGCCCTTACTGTTCCTTTGTCTAAGAACTCTGTTCTGCTCTGCTAACATCGCATGGCTTAACCCCGACTTAATTACATCTCTACTCAAATTTTAACTCCCCAAGGAAGTTGCCTTCGACACATCAAGTAGCATTCATAATCTCAGCCCTCCATTACTCTTTATTCCTTTATGCTATTTTATTTTTCTTCATAGAACTTATCACTATTTGATAGCTTATCAAGTATTTCTTTGTCAGTTTTTTCATTGCCTTCCTTACCTACTAGAACATAAACCCCGTAAGATCAAGCACCTTTTTATTATTGTATTATCTAGTAACTGGAAGTGTGCCTGGCAAAAAGTAGGTGGTCAGTCTATACTATAGAAATAAATGGATCAATTAAATTAAATGAAGTATATATAATCATGTAGCATAGTTTCTTCTACATAGTATATGTTCAATAATTTTTGGTTGACTATTACACTATTAATAAGTAACTATACTTCTCAATATTACCAAAGGCACTTTGTGTGTAGGGTTGAGCAGAAGGCCTTTCTTCTTTCAGCCTTCTTGGTACTTCAATGAAATTTATAATTTTTGATAGAGTTAAAAAAAATAAGTAAGAACATTTTTAACTTAAGTTAGAATTTATCATCCTGGAAACTCAGGATTTCTATATAAGAAGATGTGAAATATAAAACTAAAATTATACCTCCCTATTTTCAATAGCCAAAACCTGAAAGTATGCCATAAAATATCAGCAATGCAGGCTGACTACACCTCAACAATCCAAGAGATTGTTGAAATATCAGAAAGAGACTCTCCTTTCCTCTCTAGTGGGTCTAATCGGGTTGACCTGCCCACATTGTCAGGGATCAGGAAATGCTTCACAATTCAAAGCCAATTCCTATTGTAAATCCCTTTTCCCTCCTTAGCCCAGATTCTCCTTCTTTCTCCCACTCTTCTTTTAAAATATTATTTTTCCAATTTGTATCATTTCACGAAACAAGTAAGCTACTTTATAGATTCTCTTAAATACCTAACACAATAAATATTGTCTTACATTGGGATAACAGTTTAATACCTATTTTAACTTTTGATGCTCAAAACAATGCAGAGAAGTGAACAGGGAAAATAATTTTCCTATTTTATAAAAAATGCAGTAGACAGTACTCAGTGATGGAATAAAGAAAGAAAGAAAGGTTGAACCAGAAGAGCATGAGATTTGGAGTAAGAAGACCTGAGTTCAAGCCCAGGTTTTGTAATGTTGCAACTATGCTCTTTAGCAAGTCACTTAATATTTCCAAGCTTCAGGTTCCTAATATGAAAAATGAGAAAAGTATTGATACTACCTGACAACAATACTCTGTAGCTCAATTGTGACAATATATGTGAAAGAACTTGGTGAATTGCAAAACTAATCCATCCGTTCATCTGTCCATCTATTCAACCTACAAATATTTATTGATCCCCTGCTATGTGAGAGACATATTTCAAACTAGATGCTCACTGGAGAGAAGAATATTTATGGCTGTTGCCCTCACAGAATTCATAGGTTAATACAGGCAGAGATGAGACATATGGACAATAAATTAGTCATCATAATAGAAAACACTTCCATGATGCTGACTGTAGTCTAGGAACTATTAGAAATGCTTTATACATCTTACCTCATGTAATCCTCACAAGATTTTTATGAAACGGATACCATTATTGTCACATTTTATAGTTAAATAAACTGAGACTCAGAGAGGCTAACTATTAGTGTACAAAAGAACAACAAATATAATTTTTGGAGCTGATATTTTTGAACCCAGTAGTTTTCTTCTAGCTTTTTTATATTAAGGGTTACACATATCGCCTCTCTTAACAAACATATAATTATATCTTATGATATGTACTACTAAAATAACAATGGAAATGCAGTTATAATTACTATGAGAAACTTCTTAAGTATAATGGCCAAAGAAGATCTTGAGAGGAGTTGATACTTACACCAAGGCATTTACACCATTGAGGCTACTAGAGAACGTTCTGGAACTAAAAAATACATTCCAACCCATCTTCACCGTGTATATTCACCTTGGGACCAATGTTGAACTTTTATGTTGAATGTTGCTTCAGGTAGGCTAGTTGCAGCTCTGCATAATAATAGTGGCATTAAAAACAATTTAACTTGCCTCACAGAACTTGAACATTTTAGTGGCAATCCTGTTTCAGTGCATTCAAATGAAAAATGGCACCCACTTAAAAAGCAGCACTCTGACATTTCACAACACAGAGCACTTCATAGCACAAATAACCTGGAAAAAAATATGCCTGAAAATGCATTTGACATCATTATTAAAACTGTCAGACTGCTCAGATAAGAAAGAAGTAGTTTCTTGTGTATTGGTTTTGTGTGCCCACAGCCAAACACAAACTGCTTTTCAGCTTCTTGGCCACTATTCACCCTTTGGGTATTGACATAACATTTATCTTTAAGGTCATAAAAAAGTGTATTTAAATTAGTTATGTATTTCCCAGATATCAGCCCACTCCTCAGCACTTTGAGGAGACATGTAAGAGTTTATTGAATTTTTCTAGAAGGAAGAGACTTAAAAGAACTGAATATGCAGATGTCTGAAGCAGGAAAAGTACTGAAATGAGAAGTTACTTGAGGGTGGGAAAGTGATGTTCTATCTCCAGCTTTTGTCATTGACTATTTACATGGCTGTGGGTATGAACATTTTAACTCAAGGACTCAGTTTCCACACCTAAAAAATGAAAGGGGTAGGTGATGAAAAGTATATCTATTTTTTGAGTTTGTCCTTCCTGCGATGGCTACTTGAATTTTCATGATGAACCATTCCACTCCTGTAGTCAAAGCTGGAACAGCAAATGAATGTGTTCATCCCTCCCTAGACCAAGTGGTGGGATAATGACCCAAAGGTAAACAGTTGGACCCTATTGCCCAGGAATTTGGATCATGAGGAGGGTGATACAGAGACAGAAAATTCTTGGTGCTGATTCAAGGAAAGTGAATGATGATTAATGCTGGCTTTTTGGTTCTCAGAACTTCCCCTTTACCTTTCCTTTCCGAAGTCCAGCTTTTCCGCTTTCTTTGCACATCCCTGTAATTCTTCCAAATAAATTCAATTCCCTCCTACCCTCTGCCCTTCCCTTCCACTCCCCCACTTCTCTTTTCTTGCTTTCATTAATTTAGCCAAGCTCATTTTCTGTGCTTGCTACCAACCCAAAATCCCTAACTAATGCAAAGAGATCACAAGACATTCACAAAATAAAAGAATTAATGTAAGATTTTTTGTGTGTGTGTGTCTTTTAATCTAACACCAAATTTACCTGATAGCAATTCTTCTGGCAG